CAACAAGGTCCATTTAAATATATGGATATCTACTTGCTGAAACGAATCCCGGCGTAGCTAACCTCAACGTGATAGGCACGTTACCATAATCGAATAAAATAATTCGAAGTGGTCTGTATTCTGTCGAAACTGCCAGACGCGGATCGCGATTTCGATCTTTTTGGATCTCATCAGCGCTCCGACAGAACACAGACCAACTTTTACCTGCTGTCCTAACAGTGCGTTTTAGAAAATACTACGAATACCGCAGTAAACGCCATCTGTAGCACGATGCTACATTTTAGCATTACGTATGCTCCAACAAGGTCCATTTGTGTGGATATCTACTTGCTGAAAACGAATCCCGGCGTAGCCAACCTCAACGTCATAGCAGAGTGATAGGCACGTTAGCTTAATCGACGCGATGGGCTGATGAGATCCAAAAAGATCGAAATCGCGATCCGCGTCTGGCAGTTTCGACAGAATACAGACCACTTCGAATTATTTTGTACTACTTACAAATGGAATTAAAAATAGTGAAACGTAAAAAGATGCACTTTTTCTAATTTAAAAAGAAACATACTTACATTGGACACTCTACCTATCTTTCAACGTAAAAATAAAGTATGTAAACTTAATTTTTCTCACCACCAAACAATGTTCTATCGCTAAAGGCGTTTTTACGAACGGATTCCTGATTTTGGATGTCCAGTTTTAGGGTAATAGCCGAATTGTGTGCTTCACACGGAATCACTTTATGTTAAAAACCTTTCGTTTTGTAAGTTTATTTATAGAAAAATACTGCTTGATAACGGGCATTGGGATAACACAGTGTCCAAAATTAGGCAACTTTCTCCCAAATCACATAAAAAAAAGGACGTTAGAAATTAGTCGAATGTCTCAGTAACTTCTTACACACACTTCTTAATCTTTGTTCCTATTAAACCCCGAACGTAATAGCCCAAATTACAATTCAAAATCGTTCTAATTAAATAATAATAAATGTGATGAAAATGTGTAAAAAAATAAGCGCATTAAGTATTAATTTTATTAATTACTGACCTACTTCATATAAAGTACCTACTATTATTTATTAATTACTAGGTTTCACCCGCATCTTCGCTCTCGCTGTGTCCTAAATACGCGTTAAAGATCATCGGAGACTACATAAAACTGAATTTTCTATCTCGAAAACAATATTTTTTTTCTCTGATAAAATGTACCCTATGTCCTTTTGTGTGCCCCTAACAATGTGTGTACAAAATTTTATGATTATCGGTTGGGTAGTTAAGGCATGAAAACGTAGTAAACAAACAAGTCATTGGTATTTATAATATTAATTAGAATTAAAAAATTTCTCGATCCGGCTATTCTTATTCAAATGATTATACTATTTGAAAATTTCGCGAGTTTTCTAGTAAAATAATTAACTCGATTAGTTACATATTGTTAGTAGAAGTTTATTTCTTGCTCCGTTAATTGAGAAACTGACCAAAAGCAAAAACTTTCTTTAAATTAAGGATACGCTTTCCAATTGTTAAATTTAAACTAAAGATCAATACTGATATATTAGCAACTTACTTTACATGTGTTTTTTATTATTTTCGATAGTTTAAGTTATATACCTAATAAACCATCTGCAGACAGACGACTTATTTGCAAAACAGGTTTAAATATTTAACCTTC